TTCATCCAGAATCATCTCTTTCGGCCATTACTATTTTCACTATCACTATTATAAACTGGTTTCTTTATCTTGTTTACTTTAATACCCTTTCTTTTTAATTTTTCTTTCTTTTCTCTTTTTATCTCTATATTTCTTAGAATCTTTACTTGTTGTAAATGATACTGTTGGTAAATCTTTTTCAATTTTTTCCATTCTTTTTAATCTTATATATATATATGTGTAATATATAATATGTATATACAATAATAATACAATATTTATATTTTTAAAAAAAAAAAAAAAGAAATAATTTTAAAAATAATTTTTAAAAACGAAAAAAAAAAAATAAAAAAAAAACGAAAAAAAAAATTAAAAAATAAAAAATAAAATAAAAATTAAAAATTGATAAATAATAATAATAATTACACAGCCCGAGGTTTTGAAAAAAATAATAAAAAAATGAAAAGATGTATTACATTTGATTTATTATAATTTTATATTATTTTAAAAATTTATTTAAATTTTTATTGAATTAAAATAAAATCAGAAACAAAGATATCACCAAAAAGAGTTGAATAGTTTAACCCCAAAATCTTGGTAATGTCTTTACTATTAAAATTTTCTTTTTGACTAACTCCTAGTCTAAATTTCAATTTATCAAACAAATCAGAGTCTTGAGCAGATTCACATTCGGTTGATAGTTGATAAGCAGTGTGCCCAATGAAATCATCCACTATATGTCCAGAGAGTACTTTGGAGGTTTTAAATATCACACGACCAGGCGAGTTGACACTTTCTAATCTTTCCAATAAAAACTTTGTGAATGATAACATTTTGATTACTTTTTTTTCAAAACCATTACTAACATCACTTTTAAAGAGAGCATCTTCTATGACTATTGGGTAACTCTCTATCATTGGTGAGCATAATACTGCACATCCTTTCTTTATACCCTGTAATGAGAATTGTCTATTTTCGTATAAATTTACCAATAACTCTAGTTTTTCTTCCATCTTTAAACCATTGCCATTATAAATATCCAAAATAAATAAAAGCTTATATGATTTTGTTTGTTTTGATTCTATATATTATAAAAAAATATTAGTTGTATGTTAATAATGGTAATAATAATAATGATGAATAATACTTACTTAATTGTTTGGTTTTTTCTTCAAATATATTTGCCAATGAATCTAAGGTTACCAATTTGTTTATTTTATCCTTTAAATAAATTTGGCCATCTTTATAAATACCTTCTCCTGAATAATAAAATACAAAATCTACAAATAAACTACTATAATTGGCACCATCTAAAAATTTTAAAAAGTTGGATTTAAGGTCACCAACATCGTATTTAAGTTTTGCATAGTACCCAGCGGAACTAAATTTCTTGTATATAGCATTTGCATTCTCTTTACAACAATCTTCGCCATTGACAGGATTGCCAATTGAATAAAGATTTTTAATTACTTTTTTTTGTATATATCTCTAATTAATAATTAAAATTAATAATCACATTTAATATCTAAAAAAAAAAAAAAAAACTTAAAAACAAAAAAAAAAAAAAAAAAAGTAAATAATTACTTCATTTTCATCCTGTGTAATACTATAATATCCTATATTGCTTGTGGATGCGTCCATTTTTTTATATATTTGAAACTATAGATTATTTGTTAAAAAAAAATTAGAATTATAAAAAATAAAAAAAATTAAAAAAAAATTAAAAATTAAAAATTAAAAAATTAAAAATTAAAAATAAAAAAAAGTGCAAAAATTTTTTTTTTGTCGTTATTTATGGTGTATAAATAAAGAGATTATAAAAACGACATGAAAACTGAAACAGGATACCATATTTTTATTTTTTAATATTAAGATGGATAGAAAAAAAAAAAAAAAAAAAAATTTTTTTATTTATAACCAACTATTATTATAATTCGTTTTATTAATTGTTCATCCTATAAAACCAAAATAAGAAAAATAAAAAAATAAAATAAAAAATAAAAAAATAAAATAATAAAATAAAAAATAGAAAAAAAAAGTTATTATATTAAAATATAAATTTAATGGTTTTTATTTTTTTTATCTGTTGGGGTAAAGCTATTGCTCGAGGTTTCTGGTGATATATTTAAATTTCTTTTTGGTCTTTGTTGGTATATTTTATTTTTATTATAAACAATTGAATTATTAAAATCATCATTATCATTACTGTCATCGTCTTCTTCCTCGCTATTATTATTATTTTTTAAATTGGATTTTTGATTTTTATTATTATTATTTAAATCATTATTACTATTGTTTTTACAATAGCCTATAAAATTTGAAGTATTATTATCTATATTACTGATGTTATTACTATTATTATTAATTTCTTTTTTAATATCTATATTTTTATTTTTATTATTTTTATTATTATTATTATTATTATTATTATTACTATTTGATTGTTGCTTTATATTCATTCTATTTTTTTTATTTATAAAAGTAAACTCGGTTTCACTTTCACTTTCATTGTCATTTAAATCAAATTCATAATTTAATTCTCTTTTTTTTGCTTCTTCTAATTTTCTTTTCTTTTCTTTCTTTTTACTTTTTGTAATTCTTTTATCTGATTCTGCCAAAGTTTTTTTAAAGTGATGGAAAAATAATAAATCATTTTGATTTAAATCGTCTTTTTGAACATGGACATTTGTTAACCAAATTAAATTTTTAAAATCAATTTCAATATAACGTTGATCAAGTCTATAGTTTCCTGTAATTCCCCAAAGGTCATAGAGTCTTCCCAAGTATTTATCTATGATTTTCTTATGCTCCATTAGTTCCTTTCTATTTTCAAATACATTGATTACACGTAACTCTGGATCTTCTTTAGATGTATCGTTTGAATCTGGTGAATAAAATGTCAATACACCCCACTCTTTATAGTTTGATAATGGATCGAATTCACTTGGTTTTTCTTTTTTTAAATATTGTTTTAAATTTGCTTTTTCTTGATTAAAAATATCTTGTTGTGATATTGATCCCAAATATGGATTGGATACGAAAATTGAGTAATGTGGTTCTGTGAATTGAACTGCAACCATAAATTTAACACCGCATATATTTGAATCCTCATCAAAATATTCATCCTTTTTAGAGTCTGCTATTGTTGTTTTAATTGTTATACAGTCTACAACCAACCCTATTTGGTAAGGATTATTACCACCATTAGATCCGGGTCTGAAAATTTGAAAGGGTAAATCTTTTTTTGACATTTTTTCTACAACAGTACGAATCTTTTGGACTACTCTACTAATAGTTACTTGAGTTACATTAAACATCTTGCTAATATGGGTTGTAGATGATCCAGTTTTGCTAAATGCCATATATAAGAGGAGCTTATCTAGATTGTTGAATTTGTTTTTTTTGAAATCTGAAAAATAATGACGTGTTGCATTCAATATTATGATAATTTCTTCTTCAGTAAAATTGATAATATCATTAAAACTATTTTCTTCTTTTAATTTTTTGAATATACTTGAATAATCTTCAATTTTTTCTTCATTTTCTATTGATTTTGTATTTGTTGATATTCGGTGTTGATATTTTAACCTCTTTTCCTCCAAATCTTCCTCATCTTTATTTTTTTTACAATTTTTACCTTCAATTATTTGCTTCTTTTTATCTAAATTATATTCTACCAATGATGAAAGTTTTTTATCGGTTTCATTTGTTGATATAGATTCTACTTTTGAGTTTTTTTGTTTTTTTAAATTTATAATTTTTTTAATTTCAATTTCTTCAATTTCTTCATTTTCTTCATTTATTTCATTTTTTATTTCGTCATTATAATTATTATTGTTATTATTATTATTATATTTATTATTATTATTATTATTATTATTATTATTATTGTTGTTGTTGTTGGTGTTGTTATTATTATTGTTATTATTTTCATTAACAAAATCTGTATCATTATTTTCTTCATCAATTAAATTCTTTTCTTTAAAAAACAATAGTTTTTGTTTAAAATTATTTTTAATATTATTATTATATATTATACCGCTACTACTTGCAGTACTTGAAGAATCATCAATATCATCCTCACTTTCTTCCACTTCATTTTTAATACTATTATTATTTATATTTGTATTATTATTATTAATGCTGTTAATATTAAAATTATTGTTATTAATATTGATATTGTTATTGTTATTGATATTGGTATTATTATTATTATTCATTGTATTTATAATACTAAATCTTTGTTGTTGTTGATGAAATTGTTGGTTTTGAAGCTGACTTTGAAGTTGTTTTTGAAAATAATTTTGATGTTTTGGTTGAGGTTTTAAAGATTGGGGGGATTGGAGTTGTACAACAGGGGACTGTGGCAGTGGCAATGAAGATTGTATCAAATTGGGTGGGTTTGGTTGATAGCTTGTTGACTCTACTGATGATTTTAAATTTTCATATCTATCAAAAACATTATTATTAAATTGATGTTGTGCATTTTGGTTTATTTGTTGTTGTTTAACTTCTTCTATATCATTGGTTTGGTATGGATTATTAAAATTTTGAAATAAATTATTTTTATTATGTGGTGATGAAGTATGTTGAGCCTGCGAAGGGTACATTGGTTTATTTAAACCATATGGGTATTGTGATTGAAACGATTGTGAATGTGAAGGGTACGATGCTTTAAATGATTGATTTTGTTGTATAAAGTTTTGTTGTTGCTGTTGTTGCTGGATTTGTAATTTTTGTTGTTTTTGTTGTTTTTGTAATTTTAGAAACTGTAAAATTAATTGGAACTGCACAAATCCATCATTATTTTGAGATAGGTTATTGAGATTATGTGATTCGAGGAATTTTAGAAATTCTTTATACTTTAGAGAAATTTCATCTTCGTCAAGGTTACTATTAACATCATTTAAATTACTATTTTTACTATGACTGTTACTATTATTATTATTACTATATGCAATATTACTATAAGAATAGTTATTGTTATTGTTTTTATTAAAATTATTATTATTATTGTTGTTATTATAATTATAATTGTAACCGAAACTTTTAATATTATTATTACTATTACTATTATTTATATTTTTATTTGGGTTGTTTTGATTATAAAAATTAAAGTTACTAGTAAAATTGGAAAATGTGTTGTTTGGTAATTTTAAAACACTTTCTCCCTCTTTTTCATTTGTTAAATTGTCTATTCTTAACCTTTGTTCCATATTTTATATTTTAATATTTATTTATTTTGTGAAATTTGTGATTTTAAAAAAAAATTGATAAAATTTTTAAAAAAATTTTATTTTTTTTTTTTATTATTTTGTTTATTATAAAATGATTATCTAATTTCTATTTTTTATTTTATTTTATATTCTTATTTGTTTTATTTTATTTTTTTGAAATATGATTAGAAACTTTTTTTTTTTTTTTTTTTTTTTGTTTGAAAAGTGAATAAAAAATAAAAAATAAAAAAAAGAAATAAAAAAATAAATAATCAACAATTGGAGAAAAATGGATAAGAGGGTGCC